CCCCCCCATCCCCCCCGCCCTTTTCTTCAACATTTTCAAACATCCCACAACCATGACGAGGTATCAGCCGCCGTCGGCGTTCGAGTTTTATCACCAGTCACCATCTTCTCTCGATACGAAACCTGTGTTTTCCGGAGACGACGAGATGAGTGTACTGGATGATAAGATCCTCGAAACCACGTCAGATATCTCTTCCATGAACGACCCAAGACGGTCATCTTATGATCACACTTCAGAGGATTTCTCTCGAAGAAATTCCGTCTGGTCAGATACTCAATCACGAAATACCTCACAAATGTCTACACCTCTCTTTGAATCCGTAAATCCCTTTGGACGAGTAGACACAACGCCGACGGCGAGTTATGGCCAACATCAATCGTGGCCCCTCTCTGCTGATTCGGGTTCGTGCACGCCTACCCCAATCTACGAGCAATTCCCACACGACTACGACGGAAGCTCTACCAACCCATTTGCTGGCGGTGCTGTTGGTCCCGTCAACCTCGTGCCCTTCTCCCAGATGCCATTTCGGCCTGGGTCGACCTTCCCTCAGTCTGCTGCGACGCCAATGTCTCCCCAGTCCAGCCAGGGCTGGGTTTCAGGGACGTCAGAATCGACCGAGGCGCGCTCGAAACCCATCCGGAATACCACATATCGGAACGGTTCCCCGCTGCATATGCGGCGGGACGGCATCCGGAAGAAGAATGCCCGTTTCGACATTCCTGCTGAGAGGACTCTCAGCAATATTGACATGTTGATCAGTCAATGTACCGACGAAGATGAGATCAAAGAGCTGAAACAGCAAAAACGTCTGCTGAGAAATCGACAGGCAGCGTAGGACACCCTCTTCCTCTTTCTATTCAACCCCCATCCTAGATGAAGCAGTTACCCAAATTAATGATTTGAATAGACTCGACTCCCGACAGCGGAAGAAGGTGCATACTGAACAGCTCGAGGAAGACAAGAAACGGTCTTCTTCTCTCATCACAGAGCTCCAAGATGCCCTTCGGGAGATGAAACTCCGGGAGGCGGAGTATCTTCGGGAAAAGACGGAAATGTTCGAACGTGAGCAGCACCTGCGGGGGTATATCGACCAGCTCCACATGGAGAAGGAGGAAATGATCCGCTCCCATACTCTTGAGACCGGCGAACTTCGCAAGAAAAATGTTATTCTTCGAGAACACCTGGATAAAGCGGAGCTCAACGCCCAGCCAGCTACCAACGCTACTTTCCGCAACGAGTTCTCTGATTACGAGAACATCGCCATGGAGAATACTCCTTGGGATGACTTCTCAATTGTCAATGAGTTCTCTCTTGACACCCATAACTCCTCCCTCGTCCGCACTCCTACCCCCATACCGGACAACACCGCACTCATGGCTTCCAAAAAGTCCGACAAGTCTACGGACAAGCCTCCAGGTCATACCGAATCCTCCCCCTTCAGCTGGAATACGTTTTACATGTGTTTGCTTTTTGGGGCTTTTATTGCATCCAATAGCAGCTCAGTCTCGACTCCTGCTATCCCGCCCCTCTCGGAAGAGTACCGAGCGGAATCAGCCAACGTCCTACGAGCTGTTCTTGCATCCGCTGATACAATGGAAGCTGCTCAGACCCTCAACTTTGGAACCATTCCCGGTCCTTCCGTTTCCACCACCGCCGGCCTTCCTACCACCATTACCGGTGCGGAAATGGCACGGATCACTGGTGGAGGACCAACATCTAGTCTTGAAGATTTGCACCACAATCTAGTCGCTCCCACTAAGCAACAAGAGGAAGAGCAGATCTTCTCTCTTAGCACCGAAAGGTATAGGGCTCTTACTGACTTGGAAGATGAAGGAGGAGACTTCAAGCCTCCCCCATCGAATTTCCAGCAAGCCTATGCCTCCATGCGAAGCTCTGGCCTGCAGCATATGAAAAATGCTCCTGACATATATTCACGGTCCTTATTATGGGATCGTGTTCCGGAGAAGGTGGTTCAAGATTTTAGGAGGATGGTGAAGCAGTATGGTGTTTCTGATCCTGCCAAGGATGAACAAACAGGGGGTGTTTGCCAATCATGATATTTATTTTTGCGACAGACAGCTCATCTGTTCGTTGTTTAATCTTTTCCTAACGAAGAGCAACGGATGCAAAACTGTACGATGCCCTTGAGCATCCTACTACGCTCGACGCGACCCTGACAATCTTTCTTATGTCTAACGAATCTCTCCTACTTATATCGATATGCGTTTTTACAACCGTGGTTCATGAACAGCATTTACGAGCAGGCATTATAATTTTTTTCATTTGTTCCATCTTATTCGGATTCCTCTTTTCAGCAAGACAGGGAAATGGTCAGGATAGCGCGCATATTTCAAACTAATTTTTTTGGTCGATTTCTTTCTTTTTTTCCTTCTCGGAAACCAGACCTGCTAGATGTGACCGCAAGGCGAGAAATTTAAAGGGGCGACTCTTTTTTCCTTTGCTTGCCTAATACACCTCCTATATTATGGGCGACCACCAACCAAACCAGACAACAGAAAGAGACGACAAACTGTTCACCCGGGCAACAAACAACGGATGAACGAACGAGCGAGGCACCCCGCATGTTTTCTATGTACTCTCCTCCTCTACTAATCCAACTATACACACTACACCTTGCAATTTCATTTGTCTTCAAATTATCTTCTTGGGTCATTCTCCTCGCTGCCCAAGTCCTTCCGACGAGCAGAATTTTCCCCCGCAAGTAACAGACTTATCCACCGCCAGAACAGACGGCCTATACGGCTAAGACTCACCCCACGGTGCTTAACCAGCAAATTACTCTCTTTTGCAAACCCTTCCTTTCATTTTGCTATATATTTATGCACTGTACAACCCTTTCTTTGTCCCCATACCTCATTTTGCGGATACAAAGGTGTTACCACAGAAAGGAAAAAAGATCGCTACTCTTCTTCTCTCCAAAACCCAATCCAGGAGAATTCCGACCAACCTATCTCTTTTTGACAGGGATTTTTGACCATCTCTTGAAAAATTATTCTTCCTGTGTGAAACTATATCTGGCCATTTATTAGCGATTTATGTGCATTTTATCTTTCCTGGGGACAACTTTTTCTGTTCCTTTTTCTCTCTCTTTTGGATTTACCTGTTTTTGTAATATGTCCACCTAGCTTGCCATTTAAACTGTTGCTGTGATTCTTCTTCTTTTTTCTGCCTGCATACTTTTAGCCCCCTGCCTTGCCCTGCCTTGCCATTAATGTTCATGACACCTTGAGAACTTTTGTTGATTATCATTATCTCTTCCTGTTTCTTTTTACCATGTCATTTGTCGATAAGCTTTTTATTGTTTTATGTGTTTATTTCTAGCGATTGCGCATGGTCCCGGTTTCTTTACTCTTCCCTCTCCCTCTGTTCCCTTCTCTTCTCATGATATGGATTTGGTTTCGAGACCAATCCATCTTTATGTCTTGTCGCATCCTTTGAAATGTTTGCTTGGGACCCCATTTTATTTGCGTTTCTTCCTTTTTTTTTTTTTTTTTTTTTTTTTTTTTTTTTTTGTGTGTTTGCCCTGTTTAATGACATGATTATGGTTACGATTTCTCATGAAAGATATGAAAGATGGCTATGCCTTCGGGGCTGGCAATGCTGAGACGCGTTGGAGGGTATGAACGCTGTTTACGATCATCATGTCCATCTTACTTCTTTCTCTTTACTTCTTGACTCCAAAAACCTTTTCACTCGTACCATTCTTTTCTTTCTCTCAATTGACAAAGCCAGCAAAAGGATCCACTCCCTAATTGGTGATCATTGGATACCTCTTTTCTGGCTATTTTGAGAGAATCCTTTTCAACTTCCCCTTTCTCTACCCTCAACCACTTACCTTCTTTGGATATATTCTTTCTTAAATTTAATTATAATCAATCATTCATGGAAATTTACTCTTTGGTTCTGTTGTAATCTTCTTTTTGCCTATGTGATTCTGTTGTTGTGTACAGAGCATATCCTCCGTAGTTGTAAACGAAAATTAACGGAAGAATTAAATGAATTCACGCAAATAGGATCACTAGTTAGATGATAAATATATAGTTACCAGGTACCAGCCCAGATATTCCAAGCGAGACAAGCAACCCTATACACATCCATTCATAAAATCCGCGAAATCCAAACCTGTAAGTGATAAAGAAAAGAATAAACCAACAAACCAAAATGCCGCCCTGCTATACAAGCATAAATCCTTCACTTCGGATTATACTTCTCCTTCCATATCCTACATAAAATAAATAATAAACCATTGGTCAGCAACGATCCAGTCAGTTTGCATAGAAGAAAAAAATAAAAAAATAAAAAATAAATAAAAATTAAAAAAAGAAACAACTAAAACAATTTTTAACGAGAGCCTATCAAGACCCTCTGATTCTCGCAACTTGCGACTATGCAGCAAACACACTCGTATATCTCCCCCTCATACATTGATTTACAGACAGGCGGACATATACAAACATGCACATGCGACATAAGGCCTCGAGAAGCTAGCAATTCGCGTGCCATATGTGTCGTATGTTCGTATGTTCGTATGTTTCATTTCGTCCGCAAATGTGCACAATGTATGGGAAGAGAGATAAATGGCCGATTTGTTTCGCGTTTCGCGCGTTGCGATATAAGTTGAAGCCTGGGCTGGTGGTTGCGATTGGGACTGGAACTAGGCTGGGCGGAAAATATAGAGGTACGAGGTATGTATGTACAACACCGGTACAAAAGCGTGCAGAATGCAGAAACAGGCAGCATGATACGAAGATATGGATGCGGTTTGTGATTTTTGGGATGGGGATGTTTGGGATGGGGATGGCATAGGAGCAACCTGAGAGGGATTATGCAATGTGATGTCAAGAATCAAGTGCAAGCGAGTAAAATTAATACGGGAAAAGGCCAGCCTGTAAGATAGGCCAACATCGGATGTGGCTGCTATTTCGCGTGGCGTCTTGTTTGCTTGCTTGCTAGTATTGATTGGAGAGCCGCTTTGTTGGTTTTTGTGCCTGGGTCCATGCAGGTCGCGGCAGGGCTTTAGGATGTGTGCTTCTTCCCTGATGGAGATAGGAAGGAAAGGAGTCCAAGCCAATGGATACAGAAGAAGGGGTGCCGTGTGAATGTGATGAAGAAAACGGTGATGGTTATTGAGCTATGGAGGTGAAATAAGGGAACAAAACTTACCAAGAATTTCCTAGCGTCTTATTTCCGTTTTCTTCTGCGAGGCGGTAGTATTTTGCGGCCATGTACTAAAAATATATAAAAGAGATGATTTGAAACAGGATTAGTATTGGTCGACTCAAGGTATTTTCTGTTTCCTGCAAGGGGAGTAAAATCATAGAGCGAGACACTAGGTAGGGGAGGGGGAGGAGTGGAGAGCTGATGCGATGGCCAATGAATAAGGCGGGAAAGAGTAAATTTGGTAAACGTCGGGGCCCAAAGCCCAAGGGAAAAAGTGAGGGAGGGGAAATATAAAAAGCATTGCTGCCCAGCGGTGATCCGTGTGTGACAATTAAGAGCTGTATCCGAAGCTCTGGTTGGTAGAAGCTCCCTTTGCTTCCGAAGCGTATCATGCAAGGCACTAGGCCAGTGGTAAATCCACGACAGATTCAGCCTCACGAGCACAGGAGCCTGAGGCAAATAAAGTGGCGGTGGAGAACTGTGCTTTATTTTTTTTTTTCACTCTCTGTCTCTGCCTCTTTTCGCATGGACACTCAAGTAAAGATATTGACATGCGAAATAAAATGAACAGATGGATATTGATATAAATGAAAGAAGGCGCAAGCGGTTGAATTCTTCTCTCGCCCTTCAATTTTCTTCTGACTTACCCTATCCTTTTTTCCTCCAAATCCTTCCAAGAAGCACCAAGCCGCCTCATTCATGGCGTCCGTGTCTCCTAGATTCGCTGCAGTCTCATAGTAATGTCTAGCGGCGACAGAATCTTTGGCGACACCCCAACCGTTGCGGAAGCAATTAGCCAATTCATATATCGCAAGCACAAGCTCGCCTTTCGCGGCTCCGCCCTTTTTGATTCCCGCGCGCAGAGCTTCTGCTTCGATCAACGCAGAGTTGGCTGCTGCTGCGGATATATAGGTTACGGCTTCGTCGGGATTGGGTGTACAACCCCATCCATGCCTAGAAAAGGAATATGTAAGAGACTGGGCTTTTTATCTTCCAGGGTTGGGAGTGGACGTACCGGAGAGCCAGGCCGTAGAGCACCTGGCTTAGCGCATTGTTTGCACCATTGGGATCAGCCAGTTTGCCAAACATCCGGGTTGATTCGATGAGCTCTGTTTTGAAGAAGAGAAAATAGTTAGTTAGCCAATGCATTATCCTGGCTCTAGATGTTTGTATTAAATCATCCATCTTTCTCGAATATGTAGCTTACGTCCGGTTTCATGTAATCGAATCGCTTCTTGGATACTTTCCTATATGACATAGAGAATCCATCAGCAATGTTCCAATGTCTATCGATAGCAAAAGCCATCACCACCCCATCTCCGCTTCAATTTGAAGGCCAAGAGGCAGAGTAATACGTACATCACCTTCCCTCTGCTGTTGTATATCACCCTGCGGCTGCGGACTGACCGACCTCACACCAATCCCTGTCAAGGTCCCCTGCACCAACACCGTCGCCCGCTTCTCCCACTGCGCCTCTAGTTCTTGCGCATCACCCGTGTCCGGCCCGATCTGCGGGAGGTCTGCGGGGAGCAGTCCAGAAGAAAAGCTCGCGGCACGCGACGAACGGTTCAGATGCAGGCGCTGGGAAAGAGGGCGTTCGTCCTTTTCACTGCGCGACGGAGATCGGTCATTGTTGGGAGAGTTCTCGCCACTAGCTGCGGAGGATACGTTGGAATGACGACGGAAGCGCGAGAAGCGTTTGCGCGAGGTTGTGGAGGGCGAAGAGGTTGTAGTTGATTGGGATTCGGATTGACATTGGGATTGCGACTGGGAGTTTGGATGAAGGGGGTGGGCGTGCGAGGAAGGGTCGGATTGGAGATTTGTGTCTTCTAAGCTGGGAGGATGGATGGGCTCTTCGGAGACAGTGTCTGTACGGATGAACTTGAATTCTGGGTGTGGTGGCGGAGGATCCGGCGCTTGAGGGAAGGGCTCCTGTTCGTAGAAACGCTCAGGATTCTGCTGCCGCTGGTGTTGTGTGTTGGAGTTAGCTGAAGAGATGCTGTCGTCCTTTATCTTGTCTTTCTTTTGGAGGAAGCCTTTGAGCGTCATGGCGTTTTGTGTTCACTTTCTTTGCTTTTTCTGCGATATTTATGGCGGGGTATTCGACCATTGAGATTTGTTAAATGGATACAATAAAGTCGATATATACAGCGGAATAAAGTAATAATAAATGATATCGCTGGTTATAGTATATCTTTATCTATTTGTTTTCAAGAGGAATAGAACTTGACACAGATGTTGGATAGTTATCTCCACCATGAACCTTCAAGTTCAGCTCTGGGGTTTGTGGCTGTGTGAAGGAATCCGGGGCGAAGTAAATAAGTACGTCTGCAGAATAAGAAGAAACAAAACAACGGGCTCATGTTTACTTACCTCAAAATCAAGGAAATGATCGTGAGATATATATGTGGAGGAGTATGGAATGGTTCGTAGGTAGGGTTTACTGGGGAGAGAGCTTATTTGGTGCAAGCAATGCCGCTCTTTGGAACTTCATATCCGGGATAATTTCTTTGCGCAATGTTATGGCATATAACGTATCTGAGATTCAAACTGCCCCCCATTCCCTCTATAATGAAGATATACGCTATAAGAAAAGAACGCTGTAATCAAGAATATAATAAAAATTGCCCGAAACTGGGCAAATACCCGAAAATTCTCTCTATCAAGACAGGCTGTCATCAAAAAGACCAGGCCGAAGACGCTGTGTGCTAGATACCTGTCGACATCTGTAATCCCCGTGGCTCACCAGAAGGGCATTGCAAAGATCAAGGAATGCTTGCATATGGCCGGGAAGAACCAGAGCGTATGCTTATGTTGCTTAAAAGGAATCTTTGTGGGAGGAGCCGTAGCGCCCCCGAGACCTGCGGACAACGGACCTGGCCAGACAAGAAAGCCATCGCTCAGGAACTCAGGAAAGCCTTGCTCTCCTTCTCTGCTGTACGTTTCGCTATTGAACCCGACCCTGCAGCAGCCTTCCGTGGCCCTTGGACAATTCCAGGGTTGTGTTGACGCATTCAACCCCTTCCCTCCCCAATTCCTTCCGAAAGTCATTGCCATAAATCTTCAGCGCCGGCTTCCGCTTCCCAGACAGAGAGACTTTCCTTGAAGAATCCAACAACATATCCCATGTTCGCCAGTTATTGCAGGTTCAGGTTCTTCTTCGTATTTCATCCTCAAACTGCCCTCGCTTTTATACCTTAATATACCCAGATGAACCACTGCCATCGCCATAATCATCCATCGACATCAATACCATTCCATTTCCCCTTCCACCACCCAATATAAACTGCCTCTGAAAGCTGCTGGCATATCTAATTATACTCAGCCCCCAACTTGCGAATCCAATTCCGAAAACCAAGCTAGATAACCGACGATGTTTGGTGTCCCAGGACAACCATACTTTCCTATCAGCCCATTAAATATCAAGTATCAAGTGGTTCAAAACCTAGGCAGAGAGGGGGGAGGTTTCAACGCGGGCATCGAAGTCGTCCGGCGCAGGGTAGATGGGCTAATCTGCGTCCGTAAAAATCTCGTCCTGAGTCCGCATTCAACGCCCCATCACTGGCAGATGGAGGCAAACGTGATGAGCAGACTGAGCGGCCACCGAAACATCTGCGCGTTGATCGAAGATTACATCTTGCTCGACCGCGCCGAACTATATATCGAGTACTGTATAAAGGGCACCCTGCATGATTTCGCGACATACATGAAGAATCGGAACATTCAAGTCCCCGAGTCATTCGTGTGGCATATGCTGTTTGGAATAGTTGAGGCGTTGGGCTGGATGCATGGTGGTTTTGTTAGCGGATATGAGATGTTTCATGCCAACGTGTTGTGCTTGCAGGGATGGCTGCCTGTGGTGCATAGGGATATTAAGCCGGATAATTGTTTCCTCCAGTTTTCCCCGTACGGCCCTTTGGGCTATCCAACGGTCAAATTGGGTGATTTTGGTCTGGCTATCCACGCGGGGGATCTCACTGGACTAACTGAGTCGAGCGCGCGGCTCTGCGCTCCCGGATGGTACGCGCCCGAACACCCGAATTGTAGCGAATTCAGCGATGTTTACCGGGCTGCAACAGTAGCCCAGTTCCTGTGCTTGCCCGACTGGAACGTGGGTATCGCTAGGCAACTCCCAGGTAATTATAGTGTAGGCCTAAACAGCTGCATTAGACTAGGGATGCAGGAAAACGTGCTTAATCGCCCACTTGCTGCAACGTTGTACAGGATCATGTATTCCCGGACCGACGTCAGTGGAGACTGGATTACAGTTCCCCCACAGGCATTCAAAGATCTTGGAGTATAGTTCGTCTATTTTTACAGTCAGCAGGGAGGAGACAAAACGACAAAAAGTTCTTTTGATATATATATTATTGGTGACAAAAGCGATAAGAAAAGGAAGAATTAGCGGAGTTATTTCAACGACAAAAATAATGGCTTATATTGGATTGAGGTTTTGTACACGGAGGTTGAAAGGGAGCTAGCTCTATGATATTGATCAATAACTACTGGGGCTTAGCAGCAAAGATTCCTGCCGTTTATATGTTAGCAAAATGATTCTTGTTCCAATAGATTTGAAATGGACTTCTCTCCCTGGATTTTAAATTTCAACTGCACTTACTCTCAACATCCGTTACGCTCTGTTGCAGAATCTGCTGAATGACCTTGGGGTTCTCCAACTCTTTCTGGACCTTGCTAATGACGGTCTGTGCCAATTCGCGTTGCTGGCGGACCTTAACCTGCCCCTCGTACTGCACCCATGAGTCAAGAACCTTTTTCGCCTCAGCGGCGAGAGCAGTGCGCTGCTCCAACTCATAAGCCTGCGCCTCCAATCGAGCGGTTTCCTGTAAAGTTCCACATCAGCCATTATCCATTTTACGAGCCAATTGAACAAAACACAACATAAGGAGTAGTCCGCATACCTTGGACACCTCGAAAAGGGCCTTGGTGATATCAACAACGCCGCTCAATTGCTTGACGTTCTCAATCCTCTGCTTAACGGCATTGGTGTGATTGGCTCTAGCGCCATTGAGGATATCCTTCTGCTTCTGGATCTGAGTCTCGGCCCACTCCTTGTACATGGGTCCAGCCATCTTAGCCACACCGGCGAAGACACTGAGGAGACAGAATGCGGCGACGGTCTCCTCGCTGAAAACGTAGAGCTCATTGCTGATGGCGGCGATGGAGAGACCGGCTCCAGCGGAGAGAATGGCGGTCTTGGACACTAAGCTGTTGCCTGGAAGAGCATCGATGATGGACTGGGCCTTGGTTTTAGGGTCCTCGGTGGGTACATTGGACACGGACCTGGTTGATGTGAGAGTGGTGGCAGCCGCTGGGATGGTGCGGGAAGAGAGGACCGGACGGACACGGGCGGCGCCTGGGATCAATCAATTAATGGTAGTTCCAAAAGACAGACTGGACACAAAGCCATCGGGGCACAGGAACATACAAATGGCACTCTTAGCCAATCTCGAAGCCATTGTGATGGGATGGAGGATGTGGAGAGCGGCGGAAGGTTTGATATTGGGGGGTTTGATGCAGAATGGCCGAGTCAAGTTAGATGGAGGCTCGGGTGGGAGAGCGCACTAGGCTAACTCGGGATTAGCGGCACATGGTTGCCCGACTTTCCATCAAAATTTAACCAAAACGATGAAGAGTAAGGTACAAAGAGAACAGAGCTGCAATAGAAGAGTTGCGTGCTGTCTAGGGAGCTGTTTATATGCCTGCGAATATGACAGGCCTACTGGACGGAGGCCATGTTTCTAAAAAGCGGAAGAAGGATGCTTCAGAGCACAAGGCGCAATCATCCAAGCGGAGAGCTGTTGCAGACGATGTTGAGGAAAAGGGAAGAATAGAACAGCTGGAGAACCAGATAGCAGAGTCGCGGAAATACTATAACAATATTGTGACATTGCTGTCTCTTTTTATCACAGAAGATGCTACCAAATCACCCAATCTTACTGCAGCGCTCTCGCTGTGCAGGGTATTCTGCCGGTTAATAGCCGGAGGGCAATTCAACAAATCCAAAGGTGCAAGTGAGCAGGATTTGATATTGGTTGCTTGGTTGAAGGAGAGGTATCAGGAGTATCAGCATGGCTTGATTACTGTTCTGAAAAGGGCAGATCCATCAGCTCAAGTATGTCCCTTTTTTTCTGGAGCAATTCTACCATTCGAGGAATGTGAAACTAACGAATCTCCTAAATAGATTGCAGCGCTCGCGCTTTGCATGCGCCTAGTTAAAGAACAATCCGTTAACGGAGGAGCTGGAGCTGAGATAGGCGTATGGAAGGGAGGCTATTTCAGTGACTTAATTGTCGCCCTCATTGAAACGCAAGATGGAGATCCGGTGCGGTCTGAGTTCGTCAAAACGTTCCTGAACAAATACCACGATGTCGCATTTTATACTCTTCTTCATCTTTCGTAAGTCATATATGTTATGTGGATTTCTGCAGCCTTTACTAACAACTGGCTTCTATAGAGATTATGCATCAAGCCAAAAATCCACCCAATTCCTCGACGTTGTCATATCACTCCTATCAGCCCTCGGTCAGCCTCCATCACCAGACCACGAGTTCGAGAACTTCTATTGCGGCCTGTCCAGCGTCGGCCAAAAGCACAAATCCACTCTTCTCTCCATCTCTTCCTACAAACAGCGCGTACAAGCCGCCTGGCTTGCCGTTTTGCGCAATAATACTCTCAACGAGTCCCAACGCAAAACTCTCCTACGGATGATGTCCCACGCCATAGCCCCTTGGTTCCTCAAACCAGAGATGCTCATGGACTTCCTTACAGACTCCTACGACCATGGCGGTTCAACCTCCCTCCTCGCACTCTCAGGCCTCTTTTACTTAATCCAAGAAAAGAACCTTGACTACCCCCAATTCTACCCAAAACTCTACTCCCTCCTAGACGCGAATCTGCTCCACTTCAAGCATCGCTCCCGCTTCTTTCGCCTGCTGGACACTTTCCTCTCCTCCTCCCACCTCCCTGCAACACTTGTCGCCAGCTTTATAAAGCGACTATCCCGACTCGCGCTCAACGCACCACCAGCCGCCATCGTCGTGATTGTTCCTTGGATTTACAACCTGCTGAAGTCTCACCCAACCTGCACGTTTATGCTGCATCGGGTCATGCGCGATGACTTGCAGTCAAACCTGCAAACGCACGGCATGCCCGACCCCTTCGACCCACTAGAACCAGATCCGACTCAGACCGGCGCGCTAGAAAGCAGTCTCTGGGAAATCCAAACTCTGCAATCGCATTACCATCCCAACGTGGCTTCGCTGGCAAAGATCATCTCAGAGCAGTTTACGAAGCAGGCGTATAACTTGGAGGATTTCTTGGATCATTCCTATCAGGGAATGGTGGAGATCGAGTTAGGGAAGGAGGAGAGAGAGTTGAAGAAAGTGCCTGTGGTGGAGTTTCAGATTCCGAAGAGGATTTTCACGGATCGGCTGTTGGAGGAGGATGGAGGGGTTGATGGGGAGGCTGGAGCGTTGGTGAGGAGGTTGTGGGATTTTAACTGAGCCGGGTTTAAACACAGGATGCACCAGATATGATACACGGACGTCTGTTTATATTAGAGGTTAATACACAATGAAACTCTCAAAAGACCCCGTTCCAAGAAGCTTAGGGAACACAAAACATGCACTCATTGCAGAGTTTCGCATCTCGTACAGATGTGCCCTGCCATTCTATTTCTTGTAGATTTGACCTCTTTCAAGGCACAGATTAAAATGAGGTGAAAACGAATACCAATTCGATTATTTATTACCATTAAAAGAAAGACAATCAACTCCCGTTATCCAGTCTAAACGCCGATGCAAGGAAAGTGAGACAGACAAACAGATTGTAAAAAGGGGGAAACATAATACCAATGGAATGCAAGAGTATTATCAAAACAAAACTCCTGGTGAAAGAAAAAGGAAAGGTGATTCTTCTCTTATCGCACTTATACCCAATGACAGAACGCAACTGGGAAAAGTCGGCCCCAATCCACAGCCATATCTATCCCATCACCAACATTTTATGGGATAATCTCAATTCCCATTTCTGAGAGGACCTCTTCTGACCATTCTCCCGTCGTGGCCGTTTCGTAGGACGGACACAGTTCCAACGCCTGCGGTTCCAGCTCATCTTCATTCACCAATTCTAGTTGTTCCGCGGCAGCTTGCTCAAGGGCGGACCGAAAGTCGCTGCTGAATCCAGGACGCAAGATCAATTGAGGGTCTGCACGAACATACTCTCGAGCTTCCGGTCGCGTAAGACTGAGTACATCACGCTCCTCCGCTTCTGGATCACCGGGATGATAATTGCCAGTGGGGTCCACGACGAAAATGGCGCGTTTCAGATCATTGAACAAGTCATCAGATATATCGACGGGGATAGCTTCAATACTTAGTCGCAGGTCTTCCAGAATAGCTGTGACATACCGTTCTCTGAGGTTTCGGTAGGCGACTGTCTCCTGCTCCATTAGCTGCCAGCATCTGATGATCTGCGCATCTGTAGTTGCCCTTTCGATATCCGCACCGATCTTGTAAGAGAGGTCAAAAAGCTCCTTCGCGATAGACCGGAAAATTTTATCGATTTTCGGAGCAACCCGGACGATCGTAGCACAGATCGCTTTGGCAAGTTCTGGATCGTATATTCTGTGCCAGAAAGCCACCCAACTACTCATTCCAATTCTTGATTTCCGCATTCGTGTCAATTCTAGCGCAAGCAGAGTGGCGCGGCAGTTGCTGAGGACGTATTTTGCATTCTTTCGCGCCTCGAGGACGGACGGTGGAACGGACGCATAAGCATTTAAACCGAGTGATCTGTCGACAATCTCTATGCCTGAATCCGCTGGTGAAACCGCACGACAAGCGATAGGATCGCTTTCATCTCTAAAGGGGGTATGACCTATCGAATTTGCCCTGGTGGCCTGTGGGATTGAACCGGCGCCCCGTTTCCCAGGAGTATTCTGCAGCCAGTCAAGGAGCGGACTGGGTGTCTTCGACCCAGCAGTATGATGGTCCTGTCGGCGAAATAGATAAGACATAAGAAGGCGAGAGACAGGCAGTGGAGTATAAAATGAATGTAGCGAAAGCAGAAGAATAAGAACAAGGTGGAGCAAATCCAAGTGAACCTGAAAACCAGCCGCACAGAGCGAGAACAGAGACCCATTAAGCAAAACTATGAAATAGCTAGAAATAGCTTCAAACGAATGGACAGCATAATCTGATTGGTGAGAAGAATAGATGAGATTAATAGAGATGCAATCATAGCGAGTCCTTTTTAAGCTGAAATCAAAGACAGACAAAAATCTGCAAGTTGTTTTGGCTGGTTGGTCTGGTTCTGCGGTGGAAGGAGTATCTAGGTATATGGTCCCTCTTGGGCCTCTGAAATCAGAGAAAGTGCAGCGCCCCAGCCATGGTCAGAGAATGGACATTTAACCGGTAACAGCGGTGGATGTGGGTACACGAGGGATACGGAGGATATCTGCGGACTTCTGCTATGGTTTTTCAGTGCGTTTTGATTCAGATGTCTTCTGGAGTTGAATGTGGCTGAAGTGGTGACGTCATGTCCTATTTCTGGGAGATGATGAGATAAGCTTTGACTGTCAACAGGGAAAAAGCGAGAGACAAATTTCAACTGAAACATATATAAAAATAAAATGGTAAGACGAGCAAAAGAAGGGATTTAAGGCAAGGGCCAGTTCGGACTAATAAAGCAGCGTACATTACTAATATACCACAGGCAGGGAGCCACAGAATGTCCCTGCGTGGACACACACAAATACACACAAAACGAGGTCGGGTGGGGCATTGAGCGAGGTCGGGTCGTCTGCTTCCTGAGTCCCTCGCGTAGATATATATATCTATCTATATATACACATGTGTGTGTGTGTGTGTGCCTGTGTGCGCCTGTGTGTGCCTGTTGTGTGTATGTATTCGATGTTTTTGGGTCCAATGAACGGCTTTCTTGGTTCAGCTGTCATAAGGCTGGAGAGCCAATCAGGAACCAACTAAACTAACTAATTTAGCCCATCTTGCAAATTCTGAGTAAAGCAATGTAATTGGTAGATGTAGAGACTCAGTTCGCGGACATCGCAAGCCAGATATTTGCAAGAGAGTGGTGGTGCCATTGTTTGGGGGGAAATGCCTTTCAGCCTCAGGAAGTGGGGCATTAGCCCTCAGTTCACTAGTTGGTTACCCTGAAGAGGCGTCTTGGCTGTATGTCTTTCCCCATCTTCGCGGGGAACGTCAACGAACGACACGGCCCATCTACCGACTGCTATGGCCAGGAACTTCTCCCGCTGCTCCAGACACAATATCCTCTCTTGCCACCAGGAAAACAAGGATAATGTGTGGTGCTTGTGCTGGTGCTGTGTTCCTCCGGTTGCGATTTGCCACCCCCTTGGCTGTTACTCCACGCATCCAGCATCTAGACATCCCATACCTGAGTATATCATCCCACCACCCCCAACCTTGATCTCTGGTGTATTACCACATATCTAAATGACTAATGGCGGAAGACCAATGAACGCTTACCCGACTTCAGAAGAGACGACGGAGCCTTTTCTTATGATTTATTCCCTGATGCCCTTCGGATTTTCGAAGTTCCCCAAATCTTTCGTCTGTCGCTGTATGTTGAGTGATCTCGAAGTCATGACTGGAAACCTGTGTTTTCGTGCCCCGTTTTTCCTAACCTAGGTACTCTCGTCCTCGGCTAGTTACTAGAAGCAGTCTTGCTCTCAACCCACTTGAGAGCCCAAGAGTTTTTTTCTGAATGAAGCTTGCCTGGAATTTTTCGAGTGTCAAAAATTTCCATGCTGTCTTCATTCTTCCTTGCCCCGTTTCCCCGAAGTCCTACGATATCCCCCAACGCGATCACAAGCCTCAAAAAGGTTCCAGGACAACCATGCTAGTTTCTATCAAACAATCCATGTACCCATGTGGCGGGCGTTGCGAGAACCGGAGCTTGGCAAAGTGGATGCCAAATTATCTAGCTAGGTTCCTCCCATAACTACCATCCATCCATTCGCCTTGGAGAATGACGTTGTTGAGTGTGGTGAACCCAGCTAGCCGAAATCCAAACTATATATGGGGGGTGGCACGTGATGAGGGTAGCCCCGCGGTATCCACCCAAACATAGTTTATGACCTCATCCGCACAACCAAATTCTATCCCCTGTTTCTGAAACCAAAACAAAAGGAACGCCGAAATAATGAGAAATGAGAAAGACTCCGACAAAACTAATTTCAGAGGGAAATGAAAAGAGGAGTTTGCCAATTGAAGAGGAATAAGGAAAATGTCCACAATTGATGTCACAAGGGACTTATCGGCTCTCTTTACCGAACAGGTGCATGTGACGCCCAACGCTGTTGCTCTAGAGGATGAAAAGAAACAATACACCTATTCTGAGCTTGATAACAAGGTCTCAGAGCTTGCTCTTCGTCTCCGCAAGCACGGCGTTGGTAGAAACTGCCTTGTTGGCGTGCTCCTTGGCCGCAGCGCCGACTATGTGATTGCCTGCCTGGCTGCCCTTCGTGCCGGTGGAGCTTTTCTTGTTCTCGAACTTGCGTACCCTCCAAATCTTCTTGCCGATGTTCTCGATGATTCGAACCCAACTGTTGTAATCACGAATCAGTATCAGGCCGGAAAAATCGACGCTCGCATCCCGTTAATCGTCCTTGATGAACAAACAACAGCAGAAACCCCCCTGGACGTTAAAGAGCTCCCCCAATTGCCTGCAGACAATGATTTGGAACGATATGCTTTCGTGTCTTATTCGTCCGGAACGACTGGGCGGCCTAAGGGGATCGTAAATTCGCATAGGGCACCCGTACTGTCATACAACCTCAGATTCGGTATTTCTGATCTTCAACCAGGTGACCGTGTGGCCTGCAATGTCTTCTTTATCTGGGAAATCCTGCGCCCGCTTTTGCGAGGTGCAACAGTTGTTGCAGTTCCAGACGATGTGAGCTATGATCCGGCTGCGCTGGTTGACCTCCTCTCCACAAAGCGCATCACGGAAACCCTGATGACACCCACGCTTCTGGCTGCAGTCCTCTCAAGACATCCAGCCCTTGGAGCCCGTCTCCCAGACCTACGTACTCTGTGGCTTAACGGTGAAGTCGTCACCACTGACTTAGCCCGTAGAGCAATCAAAACCCTTCCAAACACGCGGTTGTTGAATTGCTACAGTGCCTGCGAAACCCATGAGATCGCTTGCGGAGATATCAGAGACATGCTTGATAACGAAGCCCTTTACTGTCCTGTTGGGCTGCCATTATGCCCAAAGCAAACGTATGTTCTTGATGAAGACGGTCAGCGTGTGGAACCCGGGATTAGTGGGGAGCTTTTCATTGGTGGACCACTGCTGGCACGAGGATATATTAACCGTCCTGAAACCACTGCCAAAGCTTTCGTCCCAAACCCATTTGATACAGCGCCTGGCTCTGTAATGTATAGAACCGGAGATGTCGCTAGGCTCCTTCCCTCAGGGCTTCTGGAAATTAGCGGTCGCGTTGGGGCTATGATCAAGCTCCGCGGTTATTCAGTCGTTCCAGGAAAGGTGGAAAATGCTATAGTCAATCACCTTGCAGTCAGGGACTGTGCTGTGATAGCCCACGGTGAAGGTTTGGAAAGGCAACTGGTAGCATACATTGTCCGTGATAAAGAAAACTCCCTAGGACACCCAACTGTAGAAATCAACGAGTCAGGACACAGCCCAGCAGCACGGCGAATTCTTTCTCCATATTTGGCTCACTATATGATCCCAGCCTTGTGGGTTGAACTAGAGGAGCTACCTACTCATGAGGTCTCAGGTAAAGCCAACCTTAAACGTCTTCCGCCTCCTCCGGCACCTAAACCGGTAACAAACGGACACAAGATTGAAAAAGATCCAATCACCATCGACGCTATTGCTGAATTTTGGGCCGCAGTTCTTAAAATAGCACCAAGCGCTATAACCCCAGAACACAGCTTTTTCGATTTGGGTGGACACTCACTATCAATCGCAGATCTTGCTTCGAGGCTATCGAAAAATTTTGGTTTCCACATCCCACTTGGCCGTCTTGTGGACCCGCCAACGCTCGGTGGTCATTTGGAACTTGTACGTGCTGTAAGAGACGGACATACTGCGGCATTGCAAGCAGATTTGCCAGCTGTTCTCCGTGCAGATTCCACTCTTGAGGAGAACATCCGGCCTTCTGGTGCAAAGATATGCTCACTCTCCGAAGCAAATACAGTGTTCCTCACAGGTGCCACTGGCTTTTTGGGAGCTTTCCTCCTCCATGATATATTGGAAACCACCTCCGCCAAAATTATATGCCTTGTACGTTTCAACGATCCTTCGGGGGAAGATGGTCCTAGCGGCGTAGCCAGAATACGCAGAAATCTCCTTGATCTGGGCCTATGGCGGGACTCGATTATGGAACGCGTTGAGATCCTTCCTGGGAATCTATCTCGGAGACGTTTCGGTCTGTCTCCTGAGGCCTTCGAAGCGCTTGCTTCTCGTGTTCAGGTCATCATCCACGCCGCTGCCACTGTCAACCTTGTATACCCATATGCTGCACTACGTGGCGCCAATGCAGGCGGAACAAGGGAGATACTTCGCCTAGCTTGTTTTTCCGGCGCTACAGTACAATATGTGTCGACTAACGGAGTTCTACCGCCCTCTCAAAATAGTTGGCCTGAAGATGCTATGCTTGACGTATCCGAGGTTCCAGAGAAGCTGCATGACGGATACGGCCAGACAAAATGGGTGGCAGAACAGCTTGTGCTCGAAGCTGGTCGTCGAGGTCTACCGGTGAGGATATTACGAGCAGGCACAATTAGCGGTCACAGCACTACAGGTGCAGGTAACGCATGGGATCTCTTATCTGCATTAATTGTAGAATCGATACATCTCGGCTATGCACCTGATGTGGAGGGCTGGCGGGCGGAAATGACTCCGGTAGATTTTGTCAGCAGAGCCATAATCCATCTTTCCAATCAGACCCACGCCAATCGAGTTATTTTTCATCTCGGTGATCCAAACCCCGTCGACACCCGAACAGTATTTGATAACCTCAAGGACCTCGGATACCCCACCCAAAGGATAGGATGGGATGAATGGGTTGCATTGTGGAATGAGAAAAGGGGTTCTGCCAGAGGCGGTGATGGGGCTTTTACTGTTGACATCCTTCGCAGTGGCATGCCAACTGTCGAGTTCCTCAGGGGCATTGTGGTGCTGAACAACGTTGAAACCAGACCTTTTCATAGCGAAGTTGAACGCCCAAAGGTTGACATTGTGTTGCTCGAAACATACACTCGCCATTGGTTTGCTCGAGGATGGCTCCCACGCCCTTCATCCCGTAAACATTGCCTCAACGGGACTGCACAACCTGCACACAAAAGACCATTAAGTGGACGTGTAGCAGTGATCACCGGTGCATCCTCTGGTATTGGCGCGGCCGTTGCTGCGGCGCTGGTACGAGAGGGTGCACACGTTGCTCTGGGTGCACGACGCACTAAAGCGCTTGAAGCTATCAAGAGCACTCTCCCCCTCCGCGACAACAAAGCCATCATCCGCCAAACTGACGTAACAGACAAGGCACAGGTCGAAGCACTAGTCCACGCAGCCAATGAAGAGCTTGGTCCGGTTGATATCCTCGTGGTATGTGCTGGAGTCATGTACTTCACGATGATGCCGAACACGCAAGTTGAGGAGTGGGAGCGGACTGTCGACGTAAATTGCAAGGGTCTCCTCCACTGTCTCGCGGCCACCGTACCATCGATGCTTTCACGCGGAAGCGGTCACATTGTCGCCATATCGTCCGATGCAGGGCGTAAAGTCTTCCCTGGCCTAAGCGTCTATTCTGCCAGCAAGTTCTTTGTCGAGGCCACGCTACAGGGCCTGCGACTCGAGACTGCCGGAAAAGGCCTGCGTGTCACGAGCGTACAGCCAGGGAATACCGCTACCGATCTCTTGGGGATGTCCACGGATGCTGAAGCCGTCAAAAAATATGGTGAGCCGTCCGGTGCACAGATTTTGTATCCGGAAGATGTGGCAAACTCGATCGTTTATGCGCTACGACAGCCTCCGCATGTCGCCGTAAACGAAGTACTTATTGAACCTCGTGACGAGCCAATATAGCATTAAGGGGCAGAAGAAAAGAAAGAAGAGAAGAGGTTTTTCAACCAGTCGATATCTATCCTGATTCAAGGCGAGAAGAAGCAGAAGCAGGCGGAGGAACATGATGTCCCCGTCTAAGTCTATTGTTCTTTCAACAAAACTGACATAACCAGCCAAATTCCCATCCAACTGCCCACCTATTCAACATTTGTTAATAGTTTTGTTTCGAGATTCAAGCAGGTTAAAATCTCGCACATTTACATTTCTCCAGGGTCTCTTTTCCCTGTAAACCCCCCCTTCTCTTTCCTTGCGTAAGTGACCTCTCACTAGACGTTGATCATTTCTTCAGCGCTTAATCTCTCAACACCACTTCTGTGAGAGCAAAAAGCTGTCACAGTTATATACATATAGAACGTACTTAAACCAGTCATTCAGTGTCTCCTACTCTGATTTTGGACGTATAATTAAAACGTACTTCAAAGAATCTTGTGTTGAGAAAGGCGAAGCGAGTACAGCTGAGTTTAGAACACGAGCGAAGGAAAAACATGACCAACCTATACAAAATTCTTGCCAGCCAAAGACCAATATGAAATGAATGACCCTCAAACAACGAATGAAAACAAACGGAAAATCGGAAGCAACTTAAAAAAAAAAAATTATATATAATAAAAATAAAAAACCGGTTCAGTACGTAACTCAACAAGGGAACGAGCAATCCATCTGTCGAGTGCGCTGCCCTTGGTTTGGGTGGTTACCCATAAGGCACATCTCGCTTAACTCCCTCGGATCCCACCCTCCCTGAGCGCAATTCGCAGACCCAGACCTGACTTTGCTATTCCAGTGAGACGCGCCATAATCGAAATGCACTTCATTTTCGTTCTTGGCTTTAACGAGAAGCACGTACGGTAGCTTGCTTGTCATTTCGAAAGGCCTCTTTCCATTGATCCGTGGACCTAGTCCCTTGTTCAACTTATTATCTGTTTGACCAATGACAACCTTCTTACTATCGAACAGTTTGATCGAAGCATACAGCTGAGCGGGATTGGTGCACTTGTAGGTCTCGGTGAGGTGGAATGAGCATCTTCCTTTAGCATATCTACGTTTTGATAGCAACGTCGAAGCCCGATTGGCTCTGGCAGAGATTGTGTTCGACCTCCTCCAAGTCTTCTTCCCTTTCATCGGGGTAATCGACCAATTGAACGAGCCGCATTTCTTTGTCATGGTAGAACCGATACGGGCGTGTTGGCCATTTAAGTTGATGCCTGTTCTCCATCATCAGTGACATCCTGTTGTCTTGTTATGCTAAGCATGTAGTATAATCTAAAGATGAAATCTTACATTTTTTCCACCCGTTATTGAACGCATTTAGGCAATCAGTAGCAGAGCAACTCCCTGGCGAAGGGAAATATGACAAGACTATCTTCTTCTCTTTGTCATGGAAGGTGTTGTGCCGTGGGTTTTTAGTAAATGGAGAACCTTTGCAAAACTCTCGGACCTTTAATATGAAAAACCAATCCACATCAACCCAAGGACCATGTGGCGAGCAAAAATAATCACCGCCTGAAGCTCTTGAAGTTATTGGAAACGACGCCCTTTTTGCAAGACTATGTGATTCCTGTGTATTCTCTTGGCTATCGATGTTCTCGAAAAGGTCACCCCAGTCCTGCCTCTGGGACGGGTCTGTGAACGTGTCTGGTAGGGTGTTTTCCAGAGTATCTACAGCACGGGCGGGGAGGTCGTGTGAGGGGATTCCATATGGCTCGCTGGAAAGCCCGGTGTCGGCGGCAGGCAAGGCAAGAACAGACTTGGCTAAAAGGAGATAAAAGCAGAGATTGAGTGAAAGATGAATAACCATTGTCAGTATCGAGCAGAGGTGATCGTTTGAAGAGTGATTTGATTGATGACGAGATCCATTGTTCATTGAGCAGCTCGAAGCAATCCTCTTTATATGTCTCCAATTTCTAGATACCAACGATTCCCCATCACTTCTGTGTTTATTTCTTCTAACAGCTTTTCTGTTTATAGAACAGGTGTCAAAATTAGCATTCAGGGACCTATTAGAAATTAACCGGGCAAGTGTCCGGCGGCAGGTTACAACACCATGTCGAACTGCAAAATTCTGGCTTAGCATGATGTGTTTCCCCCAATTGTCGCCGGAGAACCCAGTCCATGTCACTTCGGCTTGTGCATTAGATCCAGGAATCTAAAGATTAACTATCCAAAGGCTGGGCAGGTAAAAAACGAGCCAGCGTCGTAGGGAGAACACTACTTGAAAATGTCAACCTCTAGGGTCCTGACCTTTCGGTATCGGTATACCGTATCATGGGGAATCGCCCTACATGCTTTTGATCGCCGCTCTCTGGACTATATAAACCAACCCCCTCTTCCCGCCGCTCGAGCATCTTCTCTCCACCATCCCTATTTTCCCTTTCTTTCCTCGTAATTCTCTTGTCTCGTATGTGCTGTGCCCATCCCTTCCCCTTGGCCCCCGCTGCTGGTGTCACCTGGCCCGGCTGTGGTGTTGTTAAGATATCTGAATAGCTAATGTAGCATCAAAATAGAGTTGTATATTCCCTGCATATATCTTCTTAACTAGTTAACTTGCTAGTAAAATAGGTAAGCAGCAGAAAACGTGTGTGACTAAGCGACTAGGCGAATACGTTAACTAACCAACTAGTTAGTTATAGTTAGTTAATGACTAACTAGTTGGTTAACTATCATTGCCAAGATCCCGACACTGTGCCTGAAACTGTTCTTGACATGGTGACCATGTCCACTTCTCCTCTTCCCTGATGCAATTTCGCCTCACTCTACTGTCAAGTTACTCTAAAATTATGTGCAGACTGAGCTCCACTTCTGGGATATCTGGTCTGCTCAGGGCTGTGACTGGTTGAGGTGCCCTGTTCACTTTGTTCATCTCAATTTCTTGTCACATACATGACTAGCTTTTGCTCCCACATTTCTATATTTGATGTTTTGAATTCTGGACTTTTATTCTATCAACACTGCTAATCTCATCCTGTCTGTGTCTTGATACTTGTTGTTCTTAATCTCTGTAACAGGCTAGCCGCTGAGAACAGCTAATAAGCTAACATGTGTAAAAAGACAGAAAGGAATCGTTAGAGGAGGAAAGAGGAAAACTGATCATGTAGAGGATTGGGCTTCCTTTTATAGAGAATATATATTAATAAATACAGAAGATCTTGACTGCAATAACAGTGACGAAAAAGAATGTTGACTTATCATCATCACAGTGTCATCTCTGATACTGTCAGATAATATCTTCAAGAACAGATTTTTAAACAAAATTCATATTACAATTAGTAACTTTTTTGCATATTATCTTGAGCCAAATATAAGCAGTCTTCATATTCTGCTACATAATGAGACTAGAGAAGAGCATCTTGAATTTCTTCTATAAGCAGTTATATGATAGTCAGAGAATAACATTGTGAAGATTCATCTGAATAAGCTCAAGTGATATTTATTGAATGTCAGACTTGTAAGAAGAATCTCTCAGATGAGAAAACAAGCACAGTCTCCTTTTTCAGAGTCTAGAAGATCATTATATCAGAAAAAGCTGCAGCAGTGCTAAATATAGATTCAGTAGACAGAAGTTAGCAAATAACTCTCGTTTCATTGCTGTCTTGTATGCTCGTCTTGCCAATATATCTGATTAACTGAGGATGGAGTATATGTGATGTGAGGCCATGTATTTACCTAGATTGTAAAGCCAAGCAATTAGAATCTGTCCAGCCAACTGAATGCTATGTATATGGTATTCATTTTAGAGTACTTCAAGCAAGCATAACTCTAGCAGAGGAGTGGTGACCTGATTCAGTCACTGGTCAGATGATAAACCCCTTTCCACGCTGTCCCACACCAGTAGTACATTTGCAACACAAGCAGCCCAAATACAACAATCCTCCAGAGACAAGATCACATACATCGAATTCCATATCATCGGAGCCCTGCCCCGACCAAATATCCCCATGGCCAGGATCACTCTCTTTCACACCAAAGGTGAAGTGAGGACCATCCAATATGCAGCGGTACGGGAACTTGCTTCAGTCAGTGCAAAATTGCGAGGTGAACCAATGTGAAACTCCCCTCAACAACCTGTAAACAAAGCTGATGTTCGCAGTCCGTTTCACCACCTGTGTTCAAAGTCGAATGCGTCGTGTGTAACTCGCGACTTTGCCATGGCCCTCTCACGCTACGTCACGCCCTAGCCTTACTCTCAGCGCATTACGGTTTAGAAAACGTGGATGCTACTAGGCGAGAGTATCAACAGCGTCTATTGCTACAGGTATCAGCGGAGATATGGAGGGCCAGGGGGCCAGCACTACAGGTGGCATTAGGGGAAATAGGAGTAGACTGCTACACTTACGCACATTCAGGAAGCGTCCAAAGCAATGGTAGAGGCTAATGTACCATCATTAAACTGTGTATATTCATCTACTCCCTTGGCTCTCCCAACCCTCTTCCTTGCCGCAAAGGTCTCGCATGAAATCTTGCTAGCCAGAGAAATTCCGATGCATAATCCGCTACACTTCCGGTTTGTTCAAGGCGCTGAAATTTGAATGACGGCCTAACAAGCTATCTGACATGATTGAATTACATCTCTAAATCACTGGTGTCTTAAATAGCACTGTCTTAACATCATGATTGCACAGGCACAGGCGAATGAAATTATGTTTATGACAACAGAAAGAGCACCATTCATGCATGACACAGCATTTGGCTTTACGGCAGCTGGGCGCTTAACTCTACTCTTGCCAAACGCTGACAACAACCTACCCGCTATGTCTAGTAACTACCCCAATCCGGTTAGTCCAGGAACTAGTGGGGCTGAAATACGTTTTATATATAAGTTTGATGTAATTCTCCAATTCTCCAATTCTCCAATTCTCCAATCTTGCAACCATGACTTATCAGCTGAGTGCTTCCTACTGTGCTCGATACAACATGTCCAAGCCACCGTTGCCTTACTTTCCTGGGCAAGAGTTTTGCATCCACCCTCATACTCCTCCTGCTCCCGCAACAGGTGAGGTCGTCCTGTCTTATGAGGGGGCATCGGAAAAGAGAAAGTACGCATCCTGTGGATCGTTGGTTGCATACTTAAGTCATCCTCCGTTGCCTGGATTGACTGGAAAGTGCACTATTCGACTAAAGGTGGTTGGACCTGTCAGAATAGGAGATCAACACAGTGCTCAACTTGTTACCGTCCACATGGTCGATAAGACTGCAGATATATCAGACTCGATACCAACATCAATAAGTATCTACTCGCTAAGCTCTATGATCCCCTTTCCTTTGACCATGAGCAAGATGATGTGGATCCTTTTCGCTATACGGACCTAGCATACTCTCATGAAACCGCAGCCTACCGACTGCTTTGTCCACTTGAAGGAACTGTCATTCCAAGATATTATGGGTCCTTTACACTTGAACTGCCAATTCCGAATAAAAAGAACTTCGCGATCTATCCGGTTAATCCTTATCGAAAAAAGTACCCCGGGATCTCAATGCAACGTCTCAATCCAACCAACTATACGCGGTCAGAACGTCAGAATATTATGAAGGCAATTGTCGATGCAGAATCTATGCTGTATGCTCATGATATATTACATAGAGATATACACCCGAGGAATGTTCTTGTGCTGGATAGTGCTCATCGGCGTGTGGTACTCATTGACTTTGGATATTGCGGGATTGGTCGAACTCCTTCTAACAGCCCTGCCGAGTGGAAAGCCAAATATCTGGTGTTCCCATATCTCCTTTGCTGCGCTGGGATCAGGGTTGGGGCCGTCATGCGAATTTTCATGAATGGATTGACTGGGACTGGCAAACTTGGCTTGAGCACTGTTATGAATTCACAAGAGCATCCATAACAGAACACATGCGGTCGATTTGGCTTCCAAAAATACCGTGTATATCACCGCCTCCACGTCCATCTGTATCTTCAGTGTGTTTCCCCGCACCTTTGCCGTTCTCCGGTTCCTAGAATTCTGACGTGCCCCTTTTTATCGACTAATACAAAGAGAACAAATAAGCAGATGGCCCGTGGTTTGGACTTGATTATCGATGCATGCGTTTTGCCCAACTTTCTATGGTTTATGTGATATCATTTTTTAACAGGATATGTGAAGAGGGAGGCCCGGTGGTGCCACCTTCATTTTTGGATAACTGTAGAGGATCACGGCTCTTCATTATAAATCATACCCACGTTCCAAGTGCGCGACATCCTCCCATCTTGACAGCCACTCTCCCTGCCCACCTGCCCATGAAGCGGACGGAATTCGAGCTGCCACTGGCACAGATCTATCTCCTCGTGAAGCTTCTGATTTGTCCGACCTCGGACGCCCTGGAGAAGATCAAGCAGGAGGATCGCGCCCGTCTCTCTCGGAGGAGAAGAAGTGCCGGGCGGTCGAGGAGCATATTGGCTCCGCACCGGGTCCTCTGACATGCCCTGCCACCTTGACAATATACCTGCGATACGCCGAGCGACCTCAAGTTCGCTATCCATCCCTGCATCAAGATGGATACGGGGAACTTTCACGAGTCACCCATTTACAAGTAACATAGCAGGACATACCACCCACCCAGAGATGTTGAGCTCCGGAGGAGGGTATTGTTGGTCTTTTGGCATTTTTAGTGCAGTGTGCTCAAAAATGGCCCAAGCAATTATGAATTTAGTCCCAAGTGATAAAGCAGTATACGTGGCGCTGGATAGTTGGACAAAGCTGACCGTGCGGAATAATTAACCGCGAAGGATGACTCCGCGCCATCCCAACCAAAGCAAATGTCAGTGACCCGGAAAGTATCTGAGTGAAATGGATCTAATTTGCCTAACCAGTCAGTCTAGTGCCAAGGGTACAACACCGAAATGGAACATATTGCATTATTTTTTATGTGGATTCAAACAGGCCCCCAAACCCGGGTCGGAAGTTTCCAGAGTTATGCGAAGAAACTCTGATCATTATTATGCTATTCTTGTGACTTTGATCAACCCCAAAAAGGGAAACTGCCCTGGTGCAAATTATGGTTTCCAATCTGTGCCATGACAAGCCCTATTTATCATCAATTCAGACACCGAGTCTTATTACCCGCTGTATCACCTTGAACAATGGAGCCAACTCCCTGCTTCTTGGCATGTCTACAAGACTCTTGAGACTCTCCTCCGCCTTCTTCGGTTGTATCCGCGAAGCCCCGTTGCACGTCTTGATACTCTGTTTCATCAGATAATGTCAATACATCAGAGCCGTCCAAGGTAAGGGCGGCCTCGGAAGCCATCTGGCACTGAGAGGTAGAAGTTGAGATTGAGCCTCTAAGTGCCTTTCATTTTGCTGCCCTTTATAAATTCGTCCCTCTTTTCCTTTGGCCAGGCTCGAGCATTTCGATATGCACATGCTCCCCTTGCTGAAACGTTTCCAAATTCCCAGTCATGCCCCCCAAGTATTGAGTTGGGTCATAATGTATTCAGGGCGACAGCCTGGGCCTTCGGGCTTGATGAGATGAGTTGTGTATAGCTTGAGTTGACCGCCATGGTAAGTCGACGTGGGAGTGTAAGCACTGTTGTCGTAAGTTGATCCGTCTTGTTGGTATGACTGGAGAGCATGCATGCCCTGAGCTCCTAGTGCACCGTCATAACAAGCCTGCCGTGTAGCCAGAGCAAGGGATCCATCAGGGTCTTTTGCTTCCAAAAAGAAATTCGGTGCCATCGGAAGATTATCCTGTGTTGATGGGATGATATAATCGCTGAGTTCATTGCGGATCTGATGATTGAGCTGTTCAGGACGCGCACCGTAGACGTGATCTGGCTTGGCCTAAGCCAGTGTGCCATCAGCTAAGGGGGCAAGATTTCCAAGCGGATATCCCCCTCCAGCGCATTTGGGATCATCGACATCACCTTCGATGATAGGAATCACTGACGTTGTGACTGGTTGTTCTTTAGATGCGTGGGTATCTACTCATTTGAATTTCCGGAAATGTTCATCGAAGAACTTCGATGGGGAAAAGGAGGGTCGGGGCCGGGCTAATGTTTCATTGATCTCCTTCCAGTTATTCGGCATTGCTGGTATCCGACCATCGGGATATTCACATCCATCAGGGCAAACGCCATGGTCAATTAGATTCTGCTGGAAGTTACGATTATAGGGTGTAGTGTTCGAAGCCTTGGTGGTATCCCTTGTACCTGCGCTTGTTGATGGAGAACCTGCGCGTCGCTTTCTACTTCGAGACCTTGAGCTCATTGTCTTTTCGAGGAAGTTTTCTGGTTTAGGATACTGGGCTATATTATCAGCAATGATGTATTTGCAGGGATTTTTGTAGTTAACGTACATTTCCAAGGTCAGTTAGGTCAGATCCTCCCAATCTGCAAGCCCTTTTTATCTGCTTTGAACAAGCGGGTGCACCATCTCCCGAACTTCGCACCCACCCGCAACCCGCCACCAGCTACACTCCAACCGGCAGACGTTGTCTCCGCAACAACAAACCCCAGATATGCAGCAAATACCACCATTTAGTAGTGTTTTAGCTATATCATGTGACATCTAGCTTCGCATCTTCCGTATCTTCTCGTAGCAAATCTTATGCCAAATCCCGCCCGCATTTTCTGGTGTGCTTTATCATCACTGTAGATCTACAGCTAATGCGAACCAGTTCCTTGACAGGTCCGGCACCAATCTGGGCCACACATTTCGCCCCTTTCATCAAGACCCTGAGTCGGGAAAGAACCTCAGATCAAGCACATTAGCCGAATGACGCAGCTTCATTTGGCCGCACCCCCATCTTACAGACTGTAGAGGTATACCTAGTTTAGCCGGCATTATTTATAGAGTCCAGGGATCAATTTGAACCGCCTCTGACAGGTCTTCCGTTCGTATGCACCTAGGTGTAGTTATTCCAGGTTACAAGCCTTTCATTCGGCGTCGGTAGGCGGACCAGGCCTCAAATGCCGAAATTCATATCTCCCCGCTGGGTATGAATGTGCGGACCGGAGGCTGCCATCGCATAACGAGGGGAATTGGTGCTTGCGGGCCTCAGCAGCCCACAAAGAGGCTCCAGTCCAGTCAAAATGCCTGGAGTAATTGACTAATTTTCAAGGGTTCGGGGGGGGTGAAGAGTCTTATTTCCGACAAAGATGATGACCGTCAGAGTCGGCAGTTGAAGAGAAGTGAACAGGGTGCCAGCAAGGAATAATGAAATGATCTAACCCTGCATAAAACAAACAGCCCTGAGAGGTCAATGGAATTGTTACTCTGAGTTAATTAGCACCGGAGAGAACTTCGCCGACACACAAGCCTCCAGTTCTAATGTGGATTTCCAAGTTCCAATAGCTCAGCTGTCTGATGTAGAACTCCAGAGAAGTCGAACAAAGCCCACGGACTATTTTTTGTTTGCGCCTTTTTGTCAGTGCATCTTCAGGGGCTGGCAGAGGAGCGGATCATTGGTTGTTTTAACTGATTACGTCGCATCCAGGGTTGTCCTTGTCATCAGCTGTTAGCAACTAATATCGTCACTAACACCTCGTGCAAGCATGGGTGAACCCGCTAATTTCTGCACAAACCCGCCTTTATCTCTGGGTAGTTTTGTTCAAGGGCAAGTCAGCAAGTTACCAATTAATTTGTCAGGAGTAAATCTCATAATAATTAATGATGTCTTCTGAGGAAGAAAGAAAAAAAACACCGCCTTCCCGTGGACCTGTTGTGGTGGGTCCTCCCCCTCCTGAATCTCCCCATCGTGGCCTGATCATAGTGCAGAGCACGAGAACAGACTCACCCGGCACCTGGTATCTCGTGGGTTGAAAACTCGTTTTACTCTTTCCCATCACTTTCAATACTTCTACCTCCTTGTCCCGGACCAGTTCATTTAATAATTGTCTGCTGACTCGCTGCGCAGAGACATGGAACTCCATTTTCCAAGAACTCCCATTCGCGCCGTCGACGCTAGAGACCTTATTAAGATACGTCTCTGGACAGGGCATCGTGCACCAAAGAGCCTGCATCTGTAATCAGTTTCAAGTTCAAAAAACACTCCAAACATGGCTTGCGCAACCACTATTTTGCTCCGTGCATTGAAGCCAGAACATAGCAATCCTCGTCACTCTCCAATACGATATACTATTTGCATTCATAGATGCCCGTCAAGACCTGTCAGAGCTTCACGTCGCGACTGGTCACGGAGGTCGAATCATAGCCTCACTACTCTTAGCCGCAGGCGCAAATATCGACAGCGGTCAATATATTCCAACACGACTCCGCTTATGCATGCCGTTCGAGCCGACCAACGTCAAATGGTCAGGTTTTCCACTGGAGCGGGGTGCGGTGGATGAGGCGAGCACATTGCCCTACAACACGGTCGCTGTACGGGAGTACTGGAAAGTTCCTGTTGGACATTGGACGCGGGGGGGGGGGGGGGTCTGAATATCTAAGAGCAAAATCCGTCATATGGGTTTATGCCGCTGCTTCTAATGGCGTACGGATTCGGGCCGTTTTCTCCTTGACAGAGGAGCGGATATATATGTCCGATCGAATCCCGATCGGAAGACGGTGCTCCATGTCATGCGTTCGCATTTCAAGCACCACGGCCCTCTGCTAAGGGACTGCACTGTGCATTGAAAAAGGGTGCGGATGTCGTGCGAGGGACAGCACGGGTTGGACTCTGCTACATGTGACTGCGACTCGTGGATCAACGCTGCTTCATGTGGCATCGGAGATGGGTCGGAGGTATGTTGCAGAAGAACTGCTGGCTGTGGAGCACACGAGATGAGACGGGATGGCTACGCCGCTTTCAACTAGCATGCAATATGGAACAAATAGACTTGAATGATTATATTGAACCATGCGAAAATGTGAACGGTGGCCCTTGAGTAATGGCGACAGGGAGGGCTTGCCTGCCCCATTCTTTCATTACTGAGCATAGAGTTGTTCCAGACGAACAAGCTTTTTGATATCATCCATACAGTCCGTAAGTCAAGTAACAGGCGGTGCATGAGCTGGTTTTGTAATCACCAGGGATTACAAGGACAAAGCCCTCGCAGGGCCTGGCGGAAACAAAAATGACTCTGCTTACCAAGGATCCGTTATAGTACTACTGTAGTATGGAACCTCATATCATTTTTGACGTGCATCCAAGGGTCCTTGATCTTCAAGGCTTCCTCCCGAACTCCTGAGTTTAAACCAATAAAGGAGTGATTCCTGTCAAACCCACTGCTGCGGCAAGGCTAACAAAACCGTCCTTGGCGGCGATTCCAGCCTCTCTGATGTATATATATATATATATATACGCTCTTTGTACAGTAGTTGATTCCATAATATTTCTCAGAACCCTTGTCTTTAACTAACTCTAATCTTAACCCACCCGCAACCCTGGCGTTGAGGACTATAATTACTTAGTTGCATATTACTGATATAGTTCCATCTCTATATAACCTCATCAAGAATTAGGGGCTAGGGCTAGTGTTAGTGTTAGTTAAAGGTAAGGACCTGAGAAATATGATAAAATCACTACCGTCAAGAGCATAAGATGAGCGTTGAGAGGTATTATGACTTGTTGGTGTATGTAGTTCTCCTGAGAAGGTGTCTTGGTCCGAATGTTTCGATTAACCGTTGCCCCAGCAGCCGCGCCACCGCGGCAGATACAGTTCGACCAGCCTCGCATTCAATCCAATACAACAAGAGATAAAACCACGCGGACGATTTTTCCAGCCCAATTTTGAAAACCACATCCAACTTTTTTAAGAACCACGTTCAACGGGCCGGCGAAAATTCCAAGATTTCCGGAGGGGTGGAACAAACCAGAACAAGATGGATTTCAAGGGTTTCTATGCAAGATCTAGGATTCCATGTCCTTGACAACAACCCGATTAAAAAATATGTTTCCTTCTTTCACCGGACTCTGGAAGGGATTCAATCGGGCATCATTAATCAGGTGGTTCCAGTGAGGGATTCTTCTCTCCATGATGTTCCATCGTCTCCTTCCAGTCTCCACAATCCCACCACATTTCTCGCATCTCGATTTTCCCAGCCGCAGCAGCATCACGTCCGTACCGCACACAACCCCTCGTCGAGATGCATTGTATGCGGCCACGCTGCGCTACGAACGTGTGTGCTACTTGGCTTTCAAGCACAGCGGATATTCAAGGGCACACCCTTGCCCTTGTTCAACCTATTTTTATCTCACGATTCTGTCATGGAATATCCTGCTGATGGAAGGTCAACTGCACAGTCTCGGAGAGAAGCAAGATTTCGCGAACATTTGAACTTCTTTGTCCTCTCGCGGAAATTATATGTCTCTTTTAAAAGATTAAAACAAATCAATGGTTGTTTTGAGAGATTTTTATATATATACATTTTTTTTTTTTTTTTTTGTTTTTTCCCGCGCTTGCAATAATAAACAAGCGAGCGAATAATCTATCACGCCTCCAAGGGCCAAAGTCCCCCGAATCGTCAACGGTTCTAACTCAAAACAACCCATGAGCTGCAGTTTTTGCGATAAAGCCCCATCTCCAGAGCGATTGATCCGCGGTCCAAACATTGAGTATTTTCCCGAATCGACTCCTACGTCTTTTACTCCGTAGGCGATCCCTGGTTCTTCAACCCGCTGCCCATGGGCCCATGGCCAGGTTAATTTTGAAGTTATTATTTCAAGCGATCACCCAATCGCTCGACACACGGGTGTCTGTTCCCGTCATTTTAATATCTTCCCCCACAGAGAGACTGAAACCGCCGCAAATCACAGCATGGAGAGGACTGCCCAATCATACATAGAATGGGTCCGATCCTTGCATTGCGATGGGGTGCTTGGCTGGGCGCCCCAAGTTGCCCGGACAATTACCGGCTCATCTCTATGGTTCGTCAGCAACAGTTCATTCTTGTGCTGCGGGTCAGCTAGACCAAGAAGAGTGATGATGGCCCAAAGGTGACAGGGGGAGCCTTAGCACATCAAGCGAACCCTGTAGGAGTTTGTTGGTTTGTTGACCAGTTGAGATCAGGGATTCAGTGCTTGCTTGGGGGATTTGTGGCTGGACTGCGAGCACTGCCCAAGCCATCAAACTCGCCTTCTGCTCCTGTTTCTCTGTCTGACTCTTTCTCTTTGTTATGTTTCTTGTTTCTTCCTCGCTGCAAGGTTTTCGTTCATTTCATTTCATTTCATATTTACTCACCCTGAGTTGCTTTGGGAATTTCACTCCTTAGATCTTCTTCCACCTTCAGTTATTCGTGCATACGTACATATATTCGGGCTCGTTCCAAGCAAATAAATTAAGATACCTGATACAGAAATCCACAAATCCACAAATCCACACAGCAATCATAATGCATCTGGTTAAGGCTCTCGTTGCGAGCGCTCTCCTGGTGGCCACCGCCGTTGCCCAAGGCATCTCCTTCACCAGTTTTCCCGACAACGTCCAGGTCGGCGAGCCTGTAACTGTCACCTGGACTGGCGGTACTGGTGCTGTATGTTTAAAGAGGGCTCCCATCTTCGAGACACAGAGCCAATTTCTAATCATATCCATCTAGCCCGTCACCATCACTCTGCGCAAGGGACCTAGGGAAGACCTGAGGGACGTTCAGGTCTTGACCAGTACGTGCATCCATTATCCAAGCTCAACCCCCAATATACTAACAATATGCAACCACAGCCTCCGGCAAGGGCGGTTCCTTCACCTGGACGCCTGATTCCGACCTCGCAAATGGCAACAACTACGCCCTGCAAATCTCCCAGGGCACTGATGTCAACTACGGCTCCCTCTTCTCTATCAGCGGCGGCTCTGGCTCCAACGATGACAAGACCACCTCCGCTTCTGTCACTACCACTCAAACCTCGAGTCTCAGCCGTTCCGCCATCACCCCAGCCACCACCACCACCACCACTACCCATGCGCCAACGACCGGAACCCCAAGCGGCTACCCAACCGCTTCTCTCAACAAAACCACCACTGCTGGCCCACGTACCCGCACCACCTCCGTGATCATCACCCCTTCCGGCCCTAAGTCTGCTCCTCCCACACCCACGCCAACTACTGGTGGCGCTGCGGTGATGAGCAGCTCGTTCGCGCTGATTATGGGTGTGTTGGCAGCGTTTGCATATTTGAATTGAGTTAACCCGTATTGATTTATTAATTAATTATTAATTGACTTTTTTCCTGTTCATTGGAAAATTTTTTGTTTCAATTTTCTAAAATTGTTCATTTGGAGTGTTGTTTTAATTTTTGTTTTTATGTGTGGATGTTTTACTTCTTTTTCCAGGGGAAGGAGTTTTGAGAATGTGGGGAGGAGATGGTGAGCGAGAGCGAGGCGGCTATACCCTTCCCTTCACTGAAAGAGAAAAGCAAACGAGCAAAAATTATATGGCTGTGTTTCTATTATTTTAACGCTGTCTTGTACCTCTATCCTGTTTACCTACTCTTTACCTACTCTTTTGCCTCTTTTCTTTGAGAAATTATCTCCCGATGGTCTCTGCACACCGCCTCGTCTTGTCGTTTCACCTACGTATGAACAGTCCTTGATACCTAAAGCGGTGCCCGCTACATGCAACTGTTGTACAACCAAATACGACATTGGGAAATCCCAGAGCAGTGGAATGGGATAGGGTTACGGAGTACGTGCTTGTGCTAAGAGTTCGAAACGGGTGGGAAGAGACGGCGATGAAATAAGGATGCTCCGCTCTGCCAGGATGGCTGGCTGGCCGGCTGGTTTGTATCTCCGCACCGCATATGTAAAATAGTCGATACCTCATCCGTCAGGAGTCCCAGGAATTAAATCAGAGTTATAATATATATCTTTTGTTAGAGAATGGTAAGGAGTGCGGATGCTTCTTTTTCACTGGTTTTTGTTGTGCTGTTCTTGACTGTCCCATGGATTTTATGTATCCTATATATTGTCCCCCTTGCTCTGACATACTCTGTTTACATTACACACATCCAATCATTGACAGCTGGGCAAATTCCCAATTGAACAGAAATATGATATTTCCCTACACGAATATGGGGGTATCTTCCGTAGGTGATACCATGGACATGCTCAACCCTACTTCCTCATATGTTTCCCCCCCGTTTTTACTGTATTGTTGCCGCCTAAGGAATGACGCCCTGGAAACTGGAAGTGTGAAAACCATATACCATGAAAGAGTTGAGGACCTCATAGGTGATATTACGAGAAGAAAACCCTACTTAAATCGCTCTTAAAGGAAGATTTCGCGATGTTTAATCGTAAGGGTGTATATTCAACTACCTTTTCTTCCTTGTGAAGAAGCATGGGTTCAATGTGTGTAATGTAGCGGTACAATACATACATGCCGATGTGACTTGGGGTAACCACACATTTATATATATGTAGATATACTGCACATACTCCGTGCATTTCTGTGCTGGAAAAGCTTCCTGGCTCGCGGGAGAACGAGAGAACTGGAGAACAAGCGGGGAAATTAGATTTCTGGGGACGGAAAGGGGTTTGGGTTTTACCCTTTTAGATGAGACTTTTTGGTAGCCCCAGATTGTTCGGTTTGATCTGCGTGCGGAGTAGATCTCAAGTCCAGAGCAGGGTCCCAATCAACGATCATACAGAGAATTAAGGAATCTGATAGCAGGTGGGTTTATGGTCCCTGTGAAAGATAACGATGTACGGTATAATATTGTTTGTGCACTAAATAGATTGAATCTCCAAAGAAATTCTTCAAACAGGCTGTAGTTAATTTTAGTACCTCTTTTGATTTTTGTGTGGATGCTGACATCACCACCTGAACGACGCATCTTGGGCTGCCAGATTCTTTTTTTTTTTTTTTTTTTCTTTTTTCCTTTTTTTTTTCCCTTTCTCATCAGCTAATTACAACACCCATTTCACTCGACCACAACACTTCCCTCATTTCAGTCAAGCACATAGTTATTTCATTCTCTCTGCGGGCTGTTTGTTTGTTTCAAGCCTTCTCTGGAGTCGGCTTATTTCTTTCTTTCTTTCTTTCTTTCTCATCCCACACACGCTCTCTTTTCTTCTATCCCAGATGATTGTTAGTGAACCAGGATCAAGACTCTCTATCTCACTCTCTGCAGATTGATCTTCTCTCTTTGATACTGTTTATATTAACTCTTCATACATACACCTGAGCATCTTGATGTACTGGTCTCACGACTTGGTTTCATTGCTCAGTTTCGTACTTGTGTTTGTGTTCCTGTGTAGCTCCCCCTGTTCGCATTCTGACTGCTGCAGACAAACCCTCCCAATTGAATCCAGTCACAGGCTAACAACCAGCATTACTGCTCTTTTCCTCCCCCCAGCCTGCCATGTCTCGCCAATGAAGAAACAAAAAAAACCACCGCAGTCAGACATAACTCAGGTGTGGAAGTTGGGCTTGACCTCCTTTGCCGGTATGTTCGGATGTTCGGATATCAGCCATCTCCACCACTATCCCACACCGGGCTGCATTCTCCAGCCTTCAGTCTCCCCTCCCTTGCCTTCCCCCCAAACCCCAGGCCCAATTGCCTTCCTTTAGGTGCCTCTCATGCCCCCTCCCCTCTGCCGTTGCACAAGTAGAAAAACAAAAAAGAAGGGGAGGAACAGAAAACAGAGGCTAAAAAGGACAGAGTCCCAAACAAGAACAGTGCCTCTTATAATGGATCGTGTCAAGTTGGTCAAGAACAAATTTGGTTTCCGCAAGATACCCAGTGCTAATTCTTCTCCTCTACCCGTGGTTGTGAAACATTCAGCTGCAGAAGCCCCCCAGATCCGCCTAGCCGATGTCGAAACCCAGCTCAACATGCATCAGTTCAATGGCTTCTTCGAATCCGCTGCTCCCGAGCGGCTACAACAACAATCCCAAAGCCTCCAGAATGGCACAAGTGATGGCCCCCATGAAAACTCTTGCGGTGAGCCTACTGCAGCATACACAAGAACCCCCGTCGTATAATTTATTAAAAGGCATATAAAACGGCTACTAACAGATATACCTTGTTCTCTTTGCCTGCCATTTAGTATTAGACACTGCCACTACCCGAACCGCCCCTTCCGCTACCGCAACATGCAACGGAGAATCACCACAAAACCCTGAATGGTCTTCTGCCGTTGGACACGCGATGACAGGAAAATCTGGCCGGGTCATCCACAATCTACAAGAAGACATAGCCCGCCTGACACGGGAATGCAGTCTCCACCGCTCTCGCGCAGAGGAGGCTCAACGAGTAAATGAAGCTCTCAGACTCCAACTGCTGAACGTAACGGACCGGCTGCGCAATTCCGAACAAGCCCACGAGGCACACCTGATTTCGATCGCGCGTAAAGATAGGAAGATTGAAGAACTGAAAGCGGAGCTGCAGGGGGAGAAGGAAAGACGGCTTAAAGCCGAGGATGATGCGCGGAGGACGAACCAGCTCGCTGCCCTGGAGCGGGATGAGCACCATCGCGCATTCGCCAAGGCAAATGAGATTGCTGCACAGGCGCGGAATCAGTATGATACGCTCTCGCGCATGCGGGCTAAGGAGCAACTCGAGTTTCGGATGAGGCTTGATGCGGCCCGACGGGAGCTGAGGGAGCTGTGTGGGAGGGAGGTGGAGAGGCAACGGCAGCTGACGCGCTTTGATGTGATTATCGA